TTCTCCCCACTTCTGAAAAAAATGTGTAGAGCACCTGGAATAGGTAAAATTATCCATCAGCGCCGCGCTAGAACGACACAAATAACGTAAGAGCTTTTTATAGCAAAAAAAAAAAAAAAACGTATTACTATTTTGATCTTAAAAATGACAGCGTTCTTTTCGAGGCAGCAACGATCATTAAATAGCATGCAGAACTTGAAACGCACCAAGTGCTCTCTGTTAGGAGATCTGCTGCGCTAGTAATCCTTTAAGGAGACAAAAATGGACGTTACGATCTTCAGCAAATCAACAGCAAAACGCGCATAATAAGGCAATTACAAAAACTCAGCTCGGTTCGGCTCGGCTCGGCTGATGGCCGGTGGCGCTTGGGGAGCTCTCTAGCATCTCTGCCAACGCTGTCTCGCGGCGTCGCTAGCTAAAAAAGCTTGACACTTTGCCAGATGCACCGGGTAGCGCTACCCAGTGTCTGGCGGCTGGACCGGGAGAGAGGGACGGTGAGTGGAGGGAGGGGAGGGGGGAGGGTTGGGCGTGGTTGCGGGGTACTGGTTGGTAGGTGCCCAGATAGAGCTCAGAGGGCGTGGTTGAGGCCAGGATAGTGGACAGGAATGAAGTTGCTGGTCAGGAGTTAAGGACGATAAACGGTGACAGTAGTTGGGGGTGATAGGTGATGGGTGTGCGCCGATGCGGCTTTGGACTTAGGGATTAGGGATAGGATAGAGTGTTGCCCCTCGCAGCCTGCAACTGTGCACAGCAGTTACACCTTTGTTTTTTCTCTTCAAAATCTCACAGGAGCAAAGATCCAGACATTCATTTATCTTGTTTTTGCTCACATCATGGAACTTATTTCAGCTTTACCTAAGCATCAGTCTCATAATTAGGAAAACCTGATGACGGGTTTTTATGGAACAACTTTACCTAAGCATCAGTTTCATAAAAAAGGAAGCCTAATGACGGGTTTTTTTGGAGCAATTTTACCCAAGCACCAGATTCATAGATGGGGAAGTCACCTACTGATGACGGGTTCTTATGGATTAGCAAAACCTCAAATTTTTTTGCTTTTATTCATAAAGTCAGATTTGCTTTAAGATACTTTTATTTATGTGCGCAGTGTTGT